ATTGGATTCTTTTGCTTTTGCTTTTTCATCTGTTGCATCTGTTGACGTTATTTGGGTATTGGGTTTTTGTTGGTTGGTTTTGTGTTTTGTGAAATTCTTATTGATTTGTAGATACTCTGTTGGGAAGAATGCGTCCATTACACGGGCGCTTAAGCCAGCGGATTTTGATCCCAAGTAGAAGTTCTGGACTAGGTTTCCAACTGAAGGATCGAAATGCACGCCGCCACACCAGTCAGTGGACTTCAGATGGAAGGACTACTGTCCCATGGTGTTTAGGTATATACTTTATAAGAAATTCAACTAAGCATGTTGTAGGTTTTTTTTCCCGGATTTTGATTTGAAATTGATTTGGTTTAGTTATTTTTTGGATTGCCAAATTTTGGAAGATTGAACTCTCATTATTTCATCAACATCATTGTGATAATTGCATTGTTGGATATTTAGACATCTTAGGGAAATGTTAGGAATAGATCCTGTGAATTACATGCTGGCTATTTGCGGAAGCGATGCCCTTAGGGAACTGTCCTCCCCTGGCAAGAGTGGATGTTTGTTCTACCTAACACAAGATGATTGATTTATGATCAAAACTGTGAAGAAATTTGAAGTTAAGGTTAGTTGTCCATACCCAACATGTCATTTAACCAATATCTGAAATAGAGAGATGATAGAGCACTCAAATATAGAGATTGAGATTGGTTGTTCTTAATTTAACAAAACATTTGAATCTGGGTTTATTAGAAACTTAATATAGATTTGCATCTGGGTTCATGACATAATTTCCATATGATCTATGTACTCTTAATCATTACTTATAAATCATATGGAAATTATGTCATTTGTAAATTTGATTATAAGAAATAACATAACTCAATACCATAAGGATCGTAACTTAACTCAATATATTATGTTTCTATGCTAATTTAGTAGAAATTTCTTCTTCAACTAAGATAGTGAACTATGCACGTAAAAGCTCGAGAAATATCACAAACACTGAAATATGCACGTGGCTCCCAATTAGGAAACTACTTTGACATTTGCACTATTCCAACATGTAGGCATGAAACTAAGTCAAAAACTATTCCAACATGTAGGCATGAAACTAGTCGAAAAAATGTGCAACAGCCACAAGACGACTCGGGAAACACGTCAAACACCTCGGGACGGACCAATGTGAGTTGTAGAAACTTACGGAACTAGCACGGGACTCCCGGTTTGAAAACTAAGTCTAAAAATGCACTTTTTCCACACTTAAGCTTGAAAATAGGCTTTCGGGGGCCAAAATCGTGCAACAGCCATGAGACGGCCCGAGAAACACCTCAAGCACCTCGGGACGGACCAATGTGAGTCGTGGAAACTTACGGAACTAGCACGGGACTCTCGGTTTGAAAACTAAGTCCAAAAATGCACTTTTTTGAAAACTAAGTCCAAAAATGCACTTTTTCACACTTAAGCTTGAAAATAGGCCTCGGGGGCCAAAATCGTGCAACAGCTACGAGACAGCTCGGGAAACATCTCAAACACCTCGGGATAGACCAATGTGAGTTGTAGAAACTTACGGAACTAGTACGGGACTCACGGTTTAAAAACTAAGTCCAAAAATGCACTTTTCCACACTAAAGCTTGAAAATAGGATTTCGGGGGCCAAAATTGTGCAACAGCTATGAGACGGCCCAGGAAACACCTCAAACACCTCGGGACTGACCAATGTGAGTTGTGGAAACTTACGGAACTAGTACGAGACTCTCGGTTTGAAAACTAAGTCCAACAATGCACTTTTTCACACTTAAGCTTGAAAATAAGCCTCGGGGGCCAAAATCGTGCAACAGTCACGAGACAGCCTAGGAAACACCTCAAACACCTCGGGACGGACCAATGTGAGTTGTAGAAACTTACGGAACTAGCACGGGACTCCCGGTTTGAAAACTATGTCCAAAAATGTACTTTTTCACACTTAAGCTTAAAGATAGCAAAATAGGCCTTCGGGGGCCAAAATCGTGCACACAGCCTGAGACGGCCCGGAAACACATCAAGCACCTCGGGACGGACCAATGTGAGTTCGTAGAAACTATACGGAACTAGCACGGGACTCTCCGGTTTGAAATAACTAAGTCCAAAAATCGCACTTTTTCCACACTTAAGCATTAAAAAATAGGCCTCGAGCGGCCAAAATCGTGAAATAGAGCACGAGAACAGCCTCGGGAAACTCTCAACACCTCGGGAGGTAACCAATTGTGAGTTGTCGAAACTTACGGAAAGTACGGATTCCCGTTGAAAAATAAAGTCAAAAAATCCACTTTATCACACTAAAGCTTCAAAAATAGGGCATTGGAGGATAAAATCTGTGCAAACAGCAAGTGAGACGGCTTGAGGAAACCTACTCAAAAACACCTCGGGATGGACCATGTGAGTTGTAGAAACTTACGGAACTAGCACGAGAGTCCCGGTTTAAAAACTAAGTCCAAAATTGTGTG